CTCTCTGCTCCCCCTCACATGGACCAGCCCTCTCTGTTGTAGCCATTAGGGTTGTCAATACAAAAATGTTAAACTCGATACCGATACTGAGGAAAATATTTGATACTCAACACCATTTTTGATACCACAAGGTTAAAAACAAAGACCCCAAAATTTAACTGAATTTTGACAGGTTAGTGTCTTTGGTTTAAAACTGACCTGTTACTGATGTTATCATGGCCGGTGGCCCACATTAATGTTGGCGCGTTATTATTAGCAATTAGCCGCAGCTAGCAATTCAAGGCTAAAGTCACATTAATGATCATAGACAATGTAAATAAATAAATAAATCAGAGAGAAGGGTCAGCGTTGCTGGTGTCGATACTTTTGAAAATGAGTATCGTATCCGGATACAACGTTTTAGTGTCGATACTTTTTTGCGTATCTGTACTTTTGACAACCCAAGTAGCCATAGATGTGACTTAGCTCAGCGTCTGTCACACGGTCGGTCATACTGCTGTGGTGGTGTCTGCCCTGCAGGTCTTGTGGGAGCTGTGGGGGCACACTGCCCCCTGGTGGGCTGTAGAGGCTTCAGCAGGTGACCAGGAGACACCAGCAGAGAGTCTCACTCTGGGTTTAAACCTCATGATGCATCCACAGGAGGCCGGTCTCACCACTGGCCTTTTTTTAAGCTTTCTCTCCATTCAAAGTATCTAAAAGTGTTTAAAAGGATTTTTTCAAAAACGTTCCAGGCAATTCTCAGTTTGTTTGTCGAAAAGAAGCCACAGCCTGTTGGAGGGAAAGCTGGATGCATTTGGTTTTAGACCAGATCATGTTTTTTTAGCTCTCTGCCGGTTCTCATCGTGCAGAAAAGTTGCTCCCTGGCTTAACACATATCCAGAGTCCGGGGGGCAACTTTTCCCCCTCGTTGCCTTTTCTGAGTGCCACCGGTGTCTGTGTTTCCCCCTTTCCTGGTTATTTTTGCCTCTGATGGAGCTCCACAGAGCTTTGATGGCTCTTTGAAGCCGTTCTTCCCCCCTGGCGTGTCTCTCTGTTTGAGGTTCTGTTTCACCGTCTTCGGTTTTCAGGTCACAGCGTTGCAGAATACGTCTGCCATCTTGAATTGTTGGGTTTCTGTAATTAACTCCAGAGTAGGGTCTGACCTGCTCTGTTTGGAAAGCGCTGTGAGACGACTGTTGTTGTGATGTGGCGCTATATAAATAAAATTGAATTGAATTGTTCTCTTTTTTTGTTTCCCCTGCCTGTAACGCTGACTAACGGTGTGTCTGCCCTGCTCTCAGAGTCCTGGTCCCGGTCCAAAGGGCGCTGCAGCCTGGGGGGGCAGCAGAACTCCTCCTCCATCCCGCTCATCCTGTCCCGGCAGCAGACGCTGGCCGGCCAGCAGCAGCTCCCTCTTGGCTTCGGACAGGTCCGTTAACACGATTAGGAAACTTATCCTGGCAAATCTAACCCCAGTTGAGCTGGAATAAATAAAAAGGGAAAAATTACTTGATGAAAATGTTTTACGGTGGAGTTTTTAACAGATTTAGTCATTTTTTAGTGGAATAATTAAGTTTTTCCTCTGATATTAGCGTGTCCTCAGCCTGTGTTTCCTCTGGTCTTAGCATGTTTCCTCTGTTCTTAGCATGTTCTTAGCGTGTTTCCT